AAAATATTGTAAATTTATTTTCAATTTTTCAATAAAGACATGCCATTGTGGCATGATTGCGGATTAAAAAAAAAAAATTTAAATTCTTTTAAAAAAATTATTAATTTGAATAAAAAATTTTTTAAAAATTTTTGAATTATTTTTATTATTATGAATTATTTTTTTTTCTAATATATTAATAATAATTTATTATTTTTTGAAACAATATATAATAACAAATATTGATAATAATTTTATTAAATAATATATCAATTTATCAAAAAAATAAAATATTGTTTTCAAATTTAATTTAAAATATCTAATTGTGACTTTGTTTAACTAGCTTAATGGACTTCTAATATTTAATAATGAGTTGACTATTATGTAATAGTAAATATAATATTATAGATGTTTATTTAATGTCTCAATAAAGACATATAACGATGATATGATTGTGGATTAATTAATTTCAAAATGATCCATACACATTATTATTAGAATTTCAAAATAAAAATTTGTTTTCAACTAGTTAATAATTATCATAGAATGAATAACACTTTTGCTGATTCAATAATCATCCGTAAATTCGTCGTGTCTTTCCGCACAAACAGCTGACAACGGGAATATATCACCTCATCTATGCCTGATGACGTATATGACGCGTATTGCAGATCAATTTATTATTATACTTAAACATGAAATTGAGTTTTTCGATCGGTGCAGTCAAATATTCGACCTGTGCCAAATTCCTCATTTAAGTCCCGACTCTATTTTTCGCTCGCAATCAGCTTTAGCATAATAATCGTTCTTACAAATGAAGAGGAAATATTTGGTAGCATTAGATGGATCAGAGAATGCGGAATATGCTTTATCCTGGTCCCTTGAAAATTTAGTTAATCTGAAAGAGGATGAATTACTAATTTTGAGTGTTGGATTGTTGAACGAAGGGACTCCTTATGAATATACGGCTGCCACAAGTAAATATTCGAATCAAGTATTCTTTTTTTTTCGATGAATTAGATTACAATGTAACTAGTGTTACATTTTGGAATGATTATAAAAATTTTTTTTTCTATAAACCCTTTCTCTTTATTTTTCCGCGGTTAGGGCATATATTAAACGGAGATGAAATAAAATTGCAAAAACAGCAAGTATGCTATTAAGTGTAAAGGAGTTTATTAGATTATACTCTGATCTAATAATGATTGTATTTAGGCAGAAGAACAAGCAAGAAAGAATATTGACAGAGGCAAAAAATTAGTTTCTGATTTTCTTGATAACAGAGGACACAACCAGGTATTCTTACACTAATTTCTGTTCTCATTCTACTAACTAACTCTTTTCTATACAATAATTATAGTTTCTTTTTGAAATGTATGTCAACTCAAGCTATGATCCCGCAAGATTCATTGTCGATTTTGCCCGAGAACATAAAATAGATGTACTTATATTGGGCCACCGGGGGATAGACCAACCAGAAGCCGTGAATGCGGGAAGCGTCTCACAGTATTGTCTTCATTCAGTAGTGTGCACGGTGGTAATTGTTCGAAGAAAGATTCACGAGACCGATGCTACATAAAGATAAAAATGATGCTAACATTTACCTAGCCTTTTTTGTATTAGCATATTTTTTTCGAATTTTTCATATTATAATTTTTTTATTATAAAAAAATTATTAATTATAGTATTTTAATTTCTATTGTATGTATCTTACAAATAAAAAAATTATTTTAAAGTATAGATTTATTAAAATTTTTATTAATTATAAATTAGATTAAATAGTTAAATTTTATAGTAGTAAAGAAATAATTTAATTTTAAAAAAATTATTTTTAAAAAAATTTAAATCATTTTTTTTTCTTAATTTACAGTTAGATTGATATGACTTGTTTTTATTGTATATATTAAATATTTATAGACTGTTTAACTTTTATATGTTAATTTATTTATTATTAAAAACTATTTTTCTAAATATAACTTAAGAAATAATATTTTACTTTATTAATTTGAATTAATTTTTATTATTTTTTTATTTAAATTATTATTTTATTTATTTTTGGTTTTATTATTATTATTATTATTATTACTATTATTTTAAAATTGCAACTGATATTAGATATGTACTCTTTATTGAAATTAAATTCTATAGAATATCATTAATCATTTTATACAAATTATATATTTTTATATATTTATAGATTAATAACAATCTATTGTAATTAATTTTAGTTAGACCTACTATCACTTTTTAAGTAGATAGATTTAATTAGAACTAAATAATTAATATACAATAATTAATAACATAATTAAGCTAGTTAATATTGAGTTTATAAATTTTCATATTTTTTTAAATTATTTTTTTTTATGTATACTTGATGAAATTTGTTATATTTTTTAATATTTCTAAATATTATTTACTTAAACCTTAAAAGGAGATACTTTATCTTCTTTGTAATTATCTATAATATCAGATCAGTTTCTATTGAGTAATTTTTATTTAAGTAAAACATCTGATTGGAATATTTTAAATTAAGAAAATAGAGGTTCTAAAGTCTATTAAGGTAGAAAGTCTTGAGATATTTATGATGTGTTAGATCAAAAGCTTTTTTTCATGCAATCCTTTTGATATTATAATTATAAATCTCAGTCTTTAATTAATAAAAGATCAAAAATCCATCTTTATGTAGTCTAAATTAATTTTAAGCTTATTTTAAATAATTAGATATGACTTTTACTGAATAATTTTTTTTTTTTTTTATATAATGTTAGCTCAACCTTGTTTTATTTGTATTTATGTAATATTATTATATATAAACTTTCTAAAATATACATTTCAGTCTACTACCAAATTAAATTTAATAAAAATAATCTCTCTTAAGAGGTATTCATCTTGTAACTTGTTGTTATTTTTTTTATATGAGCTAATCTGTCAAGACTAGACTAGTACTAAAATAAATTTCAAGGATATAAAAGTTGTTTATTGTATTTGTTATCTATTGGAACATAAATTCATTAATCTAATCACAATCTTTATATAGATTATTCTATGTTTAATAATGGGTCTCTAAAGGGAGAGACAGGAATAAAAGTCAAATGTCTCTCATTAGGAAACATTAAAATTTTTAAATTAATAACTATAAAAAAACTATATATAGTTGTTCTCCATTATCTAAATTATTGATTTATAGTATTTCCTGACTTTTGTCTCTATTAAAATGAAGAACTATGAATTTTGTCTTTCAAAAAGAAACATAAGTAATCTGCAAAATTTTATATGCTAAATACTTTAAGGACCCATTATTACCTATATTATGGAAATCTTTATTTTCAACAAGTTTTAATAAAAACTATCAATTGTCTTAATTTGCATTAGCTATATTTAAAAATATTAGTTAGATACAGTTAGGTCAATGAATAATTTGTTATATTCCATTTGCTTTTGATCAAAGGAATCATATTAGTCTTCTGAAGAATTTTAATCTATATTTTGAGATCTGATCTATAAAGTACTAACTATTGTACTATTGACTTATAGATCTTTTTCACAGAATAATTAATAAATCTAATTAGAAGATAATTTTGGATTTTGATCTTTAAGTGATATTGAACTATAGATCTTATGATTATAACTTGAAAGTACTATTACTATAATATTGATCAATAGATCTTAATTTTTTTTTTTTTTTATAATTTTTTTTAACTCTTTATCAAACTAGTTATATAGTTCGGTACAAAAGTTTTTGGACTGATATTTTTTATTATAATTTAATAAATAATTATTGAATTTGAATAAAACTTTAATATTTTT